TGTTTGAAGTAAGGGCAGTCTCATGGCTGTGCCCTTCGCCCATGAAGTTTGGCCCAACCCTGGAGAGTTCACATCTGAAGTCATTGCAAGCCTCCTATGTTCCAGGGACTGTCGTAGACACCAGGAAGGACACTTTGATATGTAGAGCCCTGTCGGCTATACTTTTGCTAAGTCTCCAAGCACTTCCCTGAGCTACAGGCTAGGAACTGTGTAAACAGGCCCCAACATCACTCTCTATCCTTGGAACTAGCCCTACTTTGCCCCTCCCACCCCAGCTCCCTCTCTGTCATCCCAACAACAGTTTCCCTGTTTGCTATTGTTACTCATGTCTCCTGCTAACACACTCACTTATCTCAACTTAGTCCTCCTTGGAGGCTTTTCTTGATGTCCACCTCGTGGGTGTTCTGCCTAGGCTGGCTGTTCTCTCTGGCTCGTTACAATACAGGTTCATCCTACATTAATGGAAACTGCATTCAGTTACTTCCAACCTCTGCTCAGACATCTTCTCCTCAGAGAAGTCCTTCCTGACCAGCCAATCCATCACACTCTAGCCCTTCACCAAATTTGTTTCTCCTTATAGTATTTAACAATACCTGAAATATGATATATTTATTTGCTTCTTGTCTGTTCCTTCTCCTCCTTCTCCTTCTCCTTCTCCTTCTTCTTCTTCTTTTTAAGTTGGGGTCTTACTCCATTGTCCAGGCTGGAGTGCAGTGGCAGGGTCTTGGTTCACTCCAGCCTCAACCTCCTGGGCTCAGGTGATCCTTCTGCCTTAGCCCCCTGAGTAGCTGGGATTACAGGTGCATGCCACCATGCCTGGATAACTTTTTGAATTTTTGTAGAGGTGAGTTCTTGCTATGTTGCCCAGCCTGGTATCGAACTCTTGGCCTGAAGCAATCCTCCTGCTTCAGCCTCCCAAAGTGCTGGGATTATAGGCAGGAGCCACCATGCCTGGACTATCTTTCCTATTTTAGAATGCAAGCCCCATGAAGACAAGGACATTATGGTTTTCTTGCTTGTATAGTGCTAACACCTAGAGTGTCTGACACATAATAAGCATTTATAGCAAATAATTGCTAAACTATCAAATGAATAAATTTGTTTTTTAAGCAAATATGGTTGCCAGACAAGATCCCTAGATCTCCTTACTCCCAATTAAATTGCCAGCTGTGTAGCCAGGCTCGGTGGCTCAGCCTGTAATCCCGCGCCTTTGGGAGGCTGATGTGAGTGAATTGCTGAGCCCGCGGGTTTGAGACTTGCCTGGGCAGTGAGACCTCATCTCTACAATAAATCAAAAAAATCAGCTGGGCGTGGTAGCACATGTTTGTAATTCCGGCTACTCGGAAGGCTGAGGCGGAAGGATCCCGGAGCCCAGCAGGCGAGGCTGCGGTGGCCGGGAGCGGCCACTGCACTCCAGTCTGGGCGACCGAGTGAGATTCCAACTCAAAAAAATAAAAAATAAAAATAAATTGCCAGCTGTGAGTCTGTCCTCCATAAACAATTCAGTGCCACCTCTACCGTGTTCACAGAGGGGGACTTGGACGTCCTGGTCTATCTAATTCCCAAGTACCCTGCTTTCTCCTCTCCTAAGTTGATCTGTGACAACAGGAGTCAGCAAACTTTCTGTGAAGATCCAGACTGTACACATTTTTTCTCCTTTGCTTGCCTCATGGCTTTGCTGCAACTACTCAACTCTGCCTTAGTAGAAAGCAGCCATGGATAGTATGTAAATGAATGGGTGAAGTTATGTGTCAGTAAAACTTTATTTGCAAAAACAGGTATGGGATGGAATGTGGCCTGTTGCTGGCTAGCCCCCCAGGTTTTAGGAAAGAAGGCAGGCTCCTGTAGATGCCTGGTGTCATTAGAACCTCTGGGCGGAGGGCGGGCTGAACAATTAATCCACTGCCTATGCTGTGTAGTATCCAACGTGGGAGATAAATCTTCTTGCAGACATGTATTTTCTAATATCTTCCTCTCTTTTTTCCATGTAATGCTGATTGTCTAGGTTTTGTTTTTCCATTTCCAAAGACTAATTTCTAAGGACGAATTCCAAGGCTCATACAAATATTGGCCTAGTTGTATCTTTCTAACTCTCTGTCTATCCATCTACCTATCTGTCTAAAGCACTCTGGTGCCCTTGGAATCGACTGTGCAAAATCCAGGGCTAATTTTGCATGCCAATCAAATGTAACATGACCCTTACCTGAGCTTTTTTTCCCCCTGAACTTTTAAGCAGTCATACACACAGGCTGACTATGCTGGTCTGAAACTTGGCAGATGACCTCAGATGTGTGCTGTTGTGAGTCTTGACTTCCAGGAGGAGAACTTTGCAGTGCCTGGGACCCGCTTCATTATACTGCTAGAAAAATCTGGGACTGCTGATGTTGAGCTGGAAGGTGTCCTCTTGGTAACTGTGAGCACCCGGTGTCTGGACCCCACCTGAGAAGCCAGTGAGGGCTGGAGTGGGAACTTCAGGGCCTGCTCTCTGGGATCTGAGGTGGGTTCCCATCCTTGAGCAGACAGGCAGGGCTGATGCAGGCCTGCGCGAGGTGATGGTGTCTAGAAAAGCATAAGTCAAAGTTCCTGTTGCACATGGGTCAGGACAGAAACCACCTACAGAAAGAGTTTGGAAGCAGAGTTTTCAGAATCACTTTTAGCAGAGTTTGTTAAATGAACTAGTAAACAAGAGAAAAGGAATGACAAAGAAAGAATGAGAACTTAGCTTTGGGGGGTCAGCGTATTGCCCTCACTCCTACCCCATATAAATTAGAATTTATTTGAAACAACACTAGCATCCACAAAAATAATAGTGGTTGGTTTGTTTTATAATGCGCTCCTCACCCTTGTTGTGGTTTTTGGGTTGACAATGGCTTGTCTTCTCTTGGGAGGGAAGATAGACTCTTGCTCCCCTGGTGTTCGTATTTAAGTCCAGGGTCTTCGTAGAGCAATTTCTTTGACTCCCCATAAGTTTCCCAGCAGAAATGGTATTTTCTAACATTTCTCCCTTCCTACTTCTTCCCTAAGGGCGAATAAACAAACGGTGATAAAAAGTAAGATCAACATTTCTCTCAGCAAGGTAGAGCTACCCCAATTAGCCGCAGATGTCAGCAGTGGATCAAAGAACAGATTCAAGTGAACAAGCAGACAGAGGACCCAGACTCGAGTTCGGGAGCTTTCAATGAATCCCTCCTCACACTGCAGCCTGAGCAGCTGCTGTGGAAACCCCAACACCCAAGAGAAGCATGGCCCGTAGCAGGCACCTCTGAGTGGAAGGAAACCAGGAGGGAATGGTGAGCTACGACTAAGTCAAAGACATCAGTCCCGGTTGAGCTGAGGGGGCAGCATAGCAGGGCCCAGGACCTTGGGGGGAACTGGCAGAGATGACAGGAGGACTCAAGGCGTTTTGTTGCTGCAGAAACAACTGGCAATTAGGTGAAGAAGTGGGTGTCTGTCAATCCCAGAGTTCCTTTTCCCCCGTGTTCTTTTCATTCTTCCCGCTTGCTTTTGCCTCCCCTTGTCTCTGTAGTTACAAAAGCAACAGACTTCCATTAGAAAAAGAAAACAGCACAGAAATTGAATAACAAAGCTACGCATATGAATTTCCTTCCATAAGTGAGGGACAGTATCTCTCGTTTGTACACCAACCTTGCATGGCACATATTGTAGTTATTACCTCATTATACAAATAAGGGAGAGACTGAATAACTGGCCCAAGACCACTTGGCTGGTGGATGGCACACTAGGGTCTGAACGTAGGCAGTCAACACTTGGGCTCCAGCCAGAGGCCTCTCTTAATGCTTCTAAAGCCACTCTTTTTCCCAAAGAACATCTCTATATGCTATTTAACATTCTGTTTTGTGGCTTAATATTTATATATAAGCACTTTTCCATGTTTTTTGAACATTCTCTATCACCAATGTGTTTCATGTAGATGTCCTATCTTCCTAACGGGGCCTCTGAGGCTGTTTTTAGTTTTTCTCTGGTTGCATTGTTTAAATTGGAAGCTGTGAATCATTGTTTAGTTGGTCCAATCAGAGAGGCAGAGCTGCTGACAGAAGACCGGGGACCTTTCCCAGGCTGGGGCATCAGTGTCTAGGTGTTCCTGGCTGTGGGCGCCAGCCCTGCCCTGATCCATACCCTGGAGGTCCCAGATTGTTAGACCTGGACAAGGCCAGTTGTTGATTCAGAATTTTTCATTTTATAAAGCTCCTCTGGGAAAAAAAAAGTCTTTGTGGAACCCACTGGGGAAAGGATCTCAGACCCATGAAGGTCAGGAATCTCAGCTCAGGGAGTGGAGGCGGAGGTTGCTGCACTCAGAGAGCTGGGGACGGCTGACCCAGTAAGACGGGAGGTGGGGAAACGTGGAGAGGCATGTTGGAATGGTACTGCTGGTGTGGACAAACCAGGCAAATAAAACTAGAACATCCTGCGTGTAACCCACAGGGGGAGCCCCTGAGCTGTACTGAGACCCTATCATATGCTTTCATCATGCTGGGGGTTTCACGTACCTCACTTCATCCTTCTAGCGGCTCCGTCTAAAAGCTAGGGTCCTTGTTCCTGTTCTGCAAATGAGCTATTCCAGAATCGGTGCTTACAGACGGGGACCCCACTGTCTCCAGCCTGCCTCAAGTAGCCATTCCATTATTTGACTGATAATGAAAACACTTTCATTCTGGCCAACTGGGGCACAGGCATTAAGGAGTGGGAGATGTCATCTCAGGTCTGCAGGAATGCACTGTCCCCTGTAAACACAGCTATGCCACCTCTCAGGAATGTTCCAGCAGGAGAAAGGCTCAGATTAATTGCGCCTGAGGAAGCAGGCTATTGGGAGTGCACTCACCTTTCTGCTCCTACCTGGGGCCAAATAGATAATGAAACTTTCTTTCTTCATGTTTTATTATAATTAAGTTCCAAGGTCCAGCTGCATCAAACCTCCTCACTGCAAAGGTGATTGCAGGGGTGGAGGGGAGAACTCAGGAGATTCTGAAAGCCTTACTGGCCTGGCTATTCCTTGCTATTGGTGTGTCATCTTTACGGACATGCTCGGAAAGCCAACGGTGGGAGCAAAATATTCTCAGGTGTCTAGATGAGCAGGAGTCTCTTTCTCAACCAACCAGTCAGTTAAACTACTCCAGGAGAATCACAAGGTGAGGGGAAAAATCCCATCACAAATCTGCAGGGAGACGATCAAGTAAAGCCTAAATGGGAACAAGGCATTTTCCTCAGGACAAGGGAGGTGTGTCAGGGTCCCTACCACCACTCCCAAGCAGATGATTCACTGAGATGACTGCCAGGAGTTGACACAGGAACACAGTCACGTGCACAGCAAGGATTGACACAGTGACGGGACACAATGCAAAATCAGCAAAGAGAAAGGCACAGAGCGAAATCCAGAGGAAACCAGGCACAAGTTCTCAAGGGTTCCTCCAGTGGCACTTCACACAGGACATGCTTCACACAGGACACGCTTCACCCCAGCAACGAGTTGTGACAACTCATGTAAAACCTGTCTTCCAAGGAAACTCCTTGAAGACTCGAAATCCAAGGTTTACTGGAGCCTGGTCACCTAGGTACCCTCCACTTCTAGACTCCCAGAAAGCAAGCAGGTATAAACCACACCAAGACAGCACAAACCACACTGCTTGCACAAATGGTTTACATACAGCGAGCCACGCTTAGCACTTCTGGAAATAATAACAACCTTCCTAACACCCAAGCTCCCAGCAACCAGCCTGGATCCGACCTTGCAAGCAGGTCTTTCCAGGGAGAGCAGTCTCAGGCCTGCTGTGTGAGAGATCTTTTCTGTACAAGAGGCCTTAGGTCGAGAAGCCAGGTGACATTAGGTAGCACTGCTGGGCTTGAGGATTTTTGTCCTTGTGTGGTCTTAACTTCAAAGAACCTGGTTCAGAATGGGCCCTTTTTAAAGGTCTTCTATTCTGTTTTCTTCGCTTTGTCAATATGTTCACTGGTGCAGACTGACTTTATACAAAGCCCTATGGTATTGTAGGCATGACTTGCTGTCTTATGTAACGATGTATGTACTGTGGCCCATCCACCAAACGTTTTACTTATTTTGTACTTTTATAGCACTCTTGAGTGTAATTCTAGATGAATTCATGATAGGCTCTGTGTGAATCATCAGTAAGATGCATTGATGTCACAAAACAGGCTATAAGATAATCTGCCACTCATTGTTTGACAATTTCTTGTCATAATTTGGAGTGCTCTAAGTCAAACTTCCTGGCTGAGAATTACAGAGTTCAATTTGTGTCCAGAAGGTTGACCCCAAATTCTTGTCCTGGGAGATAATGGTCAATTATTAATGGATTCTTGAACCTGAGAAATAAATGAGTCAAGGCCCCTTCTTTTACAAATAAATAAATAATACCATCAATACCAGCACCAGCAACATCCCAACTTCTGGTTTTAGTTATGTGCTTCTTAGAGGCCCAGCACTGAGTTCTATATTCATTTTCACATTAAGTGCTCCCAATAACTCTTTAAGGAGGGTAATGATTTAACAGATGAGAAAGCTGAGGCACAAAGAGGTCAAGTAACTTACTCAAGATCGCCCAGCAAAGAACAGTGCTGAGTGGAATGAAGAAGATTCCGTTCATCAACGAGGGTACCTGCATAATCTACGTTTGTATACCTAACTCTGAATTGTAATATACATCTTTATAAAAAAAAAAGATGATTCCAGCCGTTGTTTTGTTAAGCACTGGTCAGGCCATGTGCTCTTTGAGCTATGGCTACCACCATGTTTTCTAAGCTTTGGTCCCCTCCCTTGTCTTAGGGAAGTGAATATCCTCTCTCTTCTCTCTCTCTAATTTAATTTTCAAATGCACTATATTTTCCAATCTAAAAAAAAGAAAGATTCCAAGGCACTGTAATCATTGAGAGCACTGTCCAGGGAGACACAGCAGATTGGTGACGGTTGCCAAAAGTCACAGAGGGACTCCGTGATGCAAGCAAGGCTTGAACCTGGCACTATTGACTTTCTATTCGGCCTCATTTCCTTTAACCATGTGGCATCTTATTCATATCTTTGTAGTTTAGGCTCTTGTTAATGCCAGTCATAATAGAAATACTTTTTGACAAATTCACTAGAAAATTCAGTCAGATTCATTGCCTTATACCAATTGTAGGAGCCCGGCCACCTCCAGTCTAAACTCCCTGCAACAGCCTTTAAGCTACACCTACAAAGAATGTTCCAAACACAAATTAGAGCTGCCAATTTCATGCTCAAACCTAGAAATTGCTCCCAAGTGCCCACAGGATTTAGTGTAGACCCCCAAGGCTGGCAGGCAGAGATAGGTCCAACTGACCCCTGCCTGGTTTTCCAAATTTCTGTGGCTGCTGAGCCACCCTTCAACCCCATGAGCTGTGTACAGCATATTTTTATTGATGTGTGGTTTCCAGCTTCTGTGCCTTCAGGAATTCTGTTCCCTCTGTCTGGATCATTCAACCAAGCTGACCTGATCCTCTTGCTGGCCTGTCCTGGGTTTCTACAGCCTTTCTTGGCTTCCTGCTGTCATGGCACTTGCACCCCATGTTATGATTATATGTTTACTTGGGTACCGACAAAAGAATTTGTATCTAGAAGATGGGATGAGAACCTGGGCCCTGAGTTTTCAGGAAACAGCCCTGTAGAGCCAGAGAGAAAGACACACGAATGGGCCTCTTGAATGTAGGCCCAGTGGAAAAGTAAACCATGGACTCCATCAATGATTTATATCCTGCAGCAGACCTAGAGATTAGCTACCACAGTGATCTTAAAATTGCTTTTAACTGCTGTTAGAATCTTTCAAATTCCCCCAAAACTTAAAAGAAGAGCTCTAGAGGAAGGCCCATAGCTCCAAGGCTGCCCACCCTTCTTGGCTTGGCTCAAATCTTTCTTCTTTCTTGGACCTTCAAGTCATAGCGCAGTGGCCATGGCCTGAGCTTTGGAGTCAGATTAACTGTGTAAGGGCTTGTAACAAACAAGCCCTGGATCTCAGGAGCTTAATATCAGAAAGTTCATTTCTCATTTATGTCACCCTCTGAAGAAGTGAGCAGGGGTGTTCTGCTCCACAAAGCCATTCAGGGACCCAGTCTCCTCCAGGGAAGTGGCTTCACCATTTCCTAGGGATCTGGGTTTCTCTGCTGGTTCCTCTGTGAACTGACAACTGACAAGGGAAGGGAGTGAGCATAGAGCAGGCATGTAAACTCTTACTGCCTTGGTGGAGGTGACACATGTCCCTTGTGCTCATACTCCTTGGGTGAGCAGCCGTCATGTGGCTGCAGCTACCTACAGGGGACTGGGTAAGATGGCTTGGCATTGTGGCCAGAAGAGGAGGAGAGCACAGACACTGTGAGGTCTAGTGGGCGCTGTAGTACTGCCAGCTTATGCGTTGCTGTACGATGTACTTCACTCCAGAGTTCTCTGCTTGAATGAAACTTCTCAGGGTGGCTACAGAGTTCATTGAGTGAGGTAACAAATGTCTGATACAAATGTCAGACAATATTCATTCCTTGTCTCCTCCCCAACACAGAGTCTTTTGGTATGCAAAAGAGGTATCGATATGATTATATTTGTATTTTCTAAAGTTGTGGTGAGGAAATGAGCTCTGGAGCCCAGCCACCTGGGGTTGAGTCCTGACTACACCACATACCGATGGGGTGAGCCTGGGAGAGTCCTCGGTGCCTGGGATTTCTCATCTGTGCAAAGGAGAAGTAAAAATTAGTACCCATCTCGTAGGGTTGTGGAGAGGAGGGAATGATTTCATGTGTCCAGTCCTTAGAACTACACATGCCGTGTTGTCAATATGATGTGTGGGTCACCTATTTATGTTGTATGTTACTGATACACAGCAAAAACTCAGTGTAAGACACAAATGCTTCCCTAAGCACCAGTTCTGCATCATGTTCACATATATTAGGGTCACGAATCTCAAACTCAGTGAATGTTTGTGCAGTGAGTTCACCAAGCAAATCTGGCTTCATTCAGCATAACGGCTTTTCATCTGGGCCATTGCTGAATTCACACCTAGATGATAAGCATTCGATTTCTAGAAGCATCAGTAGAAAACAGGTTTTGGAGAACTTCTGAGAAATGTGTTTCTGCAGGGGGCCTAGGCCATGCAGCAAATCTTCCAGCCTTTTCCAGCTTTCTACTAAGCATTTTCCAAAGTCAAAGTAGGAAATTTCTGCTGACTCCCAAAGCAATGCTTGGAAGTGAGTGATCTGAAAACCTTTTCTTTTCTCTCCAGGCTCCTGAGTGCAGAGCAACACAAAGGAAAAGAAAAAATTTCCTCCCAAACAGCATTCTTTAAATTTCCTTACACTGATTCCAGAAAACTGATCATTACTGCAAGCGTAGCAATACGAGGCTCTCCAGAGTGGGTATTAGTTAGACCAGGGGTCCCAACCCCCAGAACAGTACTGGTCCGTGGCCTGTTAGGAACCATGCCACACAGCAGGAGGTGAGTGGCACATGAGTAGAGTTCTGCCTTCTGTCAGATCGGCAGTGGCGTTAGATTCTCATAGGAGCACGAACTCTATTGTGAACTTTGCAAGCAACCATGGAAAAATTGTCTGATGCCAAAAAGGCTGGGGACTGCTGAGCTAGACTCCAAGCAAGACAGCTGCAATTGCTTGAGTCAGTGCAGGATTGCCACAGTGACCTAGCTCACATCCAACAACGACCTTCTACATATGGAAGTCTCCTGTCTATCAGGTGGCAGGAGGGCTGTCTGTGAAGTCCTGGATACTCATTACTTGTGCCAGCTTTGTCAAAGCTTCTTTACTCTACACATACTTCCAGTGGTCCTTGGGGCATCCTTCACTCTTCCTGCTTTTCTGTGGCCCCCTCTATCCCCTTGGCTCAGTATGAAGTCAAAAGTGACTCCATCTTGGATACTAATCTGCCATGTTGACTTCTGATTAGCCCAGTCCCTTGAACGCCCCTTGATTCTTACTTTATTTACTGACCTTAGTGTGAGAACATGTCAACCTTGATGTTGTTGCATAAATTATAGGCTCTGGCATATGTAGCACTCTTACCTATTCTGGGAGGTTGTCTTTAAGTGTCTCGCTGGAGCATGTGTACCCTTCACCTATGGCATATTCCGCCTTGGTCTGGGACATAGCAGTGCAGAGATCTCCTATTTTAGGGCCACCCAAGACTACACTTCTGTCTGTAAGTTCCCCTAATAAATCATCCAGTCCTGACACGGGATTTGTCTGCTGCCTTCTTTGGTTTCTTGGCTCCATTTGCTTTGCATACATGGTCCTTTCACTGAACACTTAGCAGTTATCACTGTTTGTCCACTAGACTCTGTGCTCATTGGGATCACTGCTGCAATATTCATCAGAGTCTGACAGAATGCCTAGCCCATAACAAAGGCTTAATTTTTTTTAATTTTTAATTTTTAAAATGTGGAGAGCAATTCAGGTTTAGGTGTACAAATGTTCATTATGCAGGTACCTTGTTGATGAGGTGTGCCCTCCCCTGGCAGTTTCCCACTACTGCCAATCCTGCCCCCAACCACCCTACCCTGGCAGTTTCCCACTACTGCCAATCCCTTTCTTATAGTTCTATAGTTGTTCAAGGTCCACTTATGAGTGAGAACATGTGATACTCAATTCTTTGTTTCTGTGATAGGTCACTCAATATTATATTCTCTAATTCCATCCAAGTTGCTGCAAAGTTCATAATTTTGTCCTTCTTTATGGCTGTGTAATAATCCATCATGTAAATATACCATTTTAAAAAATCCAGTCCTCTCTCGATGGGCAGCACAGTTGGTTCATGTTTTTGCTATTGTAAATAATGCTGCGATAAACATGCTTGTGCACGTATCTTTTTCATAGAGTGATTTGAGTTCCTCTGGGTATATTCCCAGTAGGGGGATTACGGGATCTATAGGAGGTTGATTTTTAGATCTTTTAGGAATCACCATACTGTTTTTCCACAAAGGCTGTACTAGTTTACATTCCCACCAACAATGTAAAAGTGTTTCCTTTTTGCTGCACCCTCTCTAGCATCTGTTGTTTTTTGAGTTATTGGTGATGGCCATCCTGATTGGAGTTAGGTGGTATCTCAGAGTGGTTTTAATTTGCATTTCTTTGATGACTAGTGAGTTTGAGCATTTTTTCATGTATCTGTTGGCTGCTCATATGTCTTCTTTAGTGTCTATTCACACCTTTTGCCCACTTTGTAATGGGGTTGTTTGCTTTTTTTCTTTTGGGCATGTTTGAGTTCCTTGTAGATTCTAGATATTAGGCTTTTGTCAGAGATATAGTTGGCAAATATTTTTTCCCAGTCTGTGGGCTGTCTCCCCACTCTCTCACTGGTTTCTTTGGCTTTGCAGAAGCCTGTCAGTTTGATGAGGTCCCACTTGTCTATCTTATCTCTTATGGCATGGGCACTTGGGGTTTTGATTAGCAATTGGTTTCCATAAGAGTGTCTCCAGCATTTTATAAGATTCTTATAGTTTGAGGTTTTGCATTTAGGTCTTTGATCCATTTAGAGTTGATTTTTGTGTATGGTGATAGGTAGGGTTCTTGTTTGTATCTTCTGCATGTAGTCAGTCAGTTTTCCTGAATTTACTGAATAGGTTCCCTCTCCCCAGTGGTTAGTGGTGGAGGCTTTGTCAAAGATGAATTGGTTGAGAAATTGAGGTTTTGCTTCTGGAATCTTTATCATGTTCCATTGCTCTATATGCCTGTTCTTGTACCAATACCAGGCTGTTTTGATTATTGTAGCCTTATAATAAAGTTTGAAGTATGGAAGTGTGATACCTCCTGCTTTGTTTCTTTTGCTGAGGATTGTTTTGGTGATTCATGGTCATTTATGTTTTCATATGAATTCCTGTATTGTTGTTTCTAGGTCTGAGAAGAATACTGCTGGTAATTTAATGGGTATTGTGCTGAATCTGTAGATTGCCTTTGGTAGGATGGACATCTTAACAATCTTGACTCTTCCTATCCATGAGCATGGAATATTTTTCCATTTGTGTCTTCTTGGATTTCTTTGAACAGTGTTTTTTAGTTCTCATTGTAGAGGTCTTTCATTTCTCTGGTTAGGAAGATGGTGAGGTATTTCATTTTTTTGTGTGTCTTTTATGAATGGGATTGTGCTTTTTATTTGGGTCTCTGCCTGCTTGTTGTTGGTGTATAAGAATGCAACTGTCTTTTGCACATTTATTTTGTACCCTGAGACTTTGCCAAAGTTTGTCTTCAGTACAAGGTTTTTGACGGATTCTTTTGGTTTTTCGAGGTATAGGACCATATCATCAGCAAAGGGGAATGATTTCCTCTTTTCCTATTTGGATTTCCCTGATTTCCTTCTCTTGTCTAATTGCTCTAGCTAGGACTTCCAACACAATGTTGAACAAGAGGGGTGGGGGTGGGCAGCCTTGTCTTGTTCCAGTTGCCAGGGGAAATGTTTCTAAATAATTATTATCAATCTAGCATCCATGTCACCACCATCCAGGTTAAGAAGACAACATCTTGCCAAGTGACCTCCCAGTCATTCCTTCTCCCATCCTCCGAGATGGCCCCTGACCTGATATTTAGAATAATCATCCTCTTTGCTTTTCTTTTTAATTGTGCCATCTATATGTAATTCTCCCTAAAACTTTTAATTGTGTGCATTTCCATAGTTTATATATGAAATCATACTGTGTACATTCTTTTGTTTCTGGCTTCTTTTGGTCATTATTATTTTTGCAAGTTTGAGTTTGTGTGTCTGTACACAGATATAGTTGATTCATGTTTGTGACTGTAGTCATATTATACTATGACTGTTCTACAATTTATTTATCCATGCTACTGTCCATGGGCACCTGAGCTGTTTCCCTTTGGGAGTTATTGTTAGCAATGCTCATAATAATATCTGAGTAGATATTTGGACATTTGAGTTCATGGAAAAGAGTCTTTCAGGGAAGTTTTCTGGAAGTGGATTTGTGGGTTGTAGACTTTGGACAACTTCCACTTGACTAGATGACGCCAAACTGTTTTCCAAGGAGACTGTACAAATTGAATTCCCACCTGCAGAGAGTATATACTTCTTATCACTACTTATTTTTACTAGACCTTTTCATTTTTATCCTATGTGGGGATTGTCTGAGAGCTCCACTCAGGTACTGGACATTGCTTCAAGCTGTCATTTGACTCTCACAGCAGCCCTGAGAGGTCACTATCATGATTCCCATTTTGCAGATGGAGAAGCCAAGTTTCAGTTGATTTAAATCATTAGCAAATCGCTGTTAGGATTCAAACCTGGATCTGTGCAACCTGAATCTAAGCTTTTTCTACAATGTCGTATACTGCTCTGCTGAGATTTTTGGGCCCATATTGGGTAGCAATAGGCAACTATGAGTCTCTTGGGGATTGAACTCTCTTGGGAGCTGAGTGCTGAGACCTCAGTCTTTGGTGTACATCAGAATTACCTAGTCCCTGTCCCAAATCCACTGAATCAGAGTTGGCAGCGCTGGGGATCTAGTGAATGTAAAGTAGTATCTCACTGTGATTTTAATTTGCCTTTCTCTATTGACTAATGTTGTTAAGTATTCTGTAATTACCCTACTGGTCATTTGTATTTGTTTTACAGTCTGTTCAAACCTTTTGGCTCCTTCTTAATTGTATTGTTTGCCTTCTTATTGATATATTAGACTTCTTTATATATTGTGGTTACAATTTCTTTATAGCTTTATGTACTGCAAATATGTTATCAGTCTATGGCTTATTTTTCATTACTCCTTCCTTCCTTCTTTCCTTCCCTCTCCCTCCCTCCCCTTTCCTTCCTTCTTTCCTTCCTTCCTTCCTTCCTTCCTTCCTCTCTTTCTTTCTTTTGACAAGGTCTCATCCTGTTGCCCAGTCTGAAGTACAGTGGCATGATCATAGCTCATTGCAGCCTCAACTTCCAGGGCTCAACCCTCTTGCTTCAGCCTCCTAGTAGCTGGAACTATAGGTGTATGCCACCATGCCCACCTAATTTTAACTTTTTCCTGTAGCTACAGGGTCTTGCTGTGTCACTCAGGCTGGTCTCGAACTCTTTCCTCAAGTGATCCTCTCACCTTAGGCTCCGAAAGTATTGGGATTGCAGGCGTGAGCCACCACATTCAGCCTCTTTTCATTTTTTGTTGGTCTTTGAAGAACAAAAGACTTAAATTTTGATTATATGCAAATGAGCATTTTTTTCATGGTTGATGTCTTTTGTGTTTTGTGTCGTTGCCTATCCAAAAGTACCTCTTCTGTTATGAATGTGCACTTTTAACACTTCCAAAGTCATCCTACAGTGTGTTGAAGCTGGAGAAGTCCAGACATGACTGGTATCATAAGCTTGAGGTCAGATCTGAGTTAAGCTTCCAGGTTTACTACTTACCAAGAAAATCTCTTTGTCCCCCAAGCCTCAGTTTCCCTATCTGCAAAATGGAGTAAAAATAGGACCATTTCCAAAATTTGTTAGAAGTCAAAGAGAGAAAAGCTGAGACCGAAGTTAGAGCAAAATGCCAAACACGGAAATGTTTTATAAAAACTATTTGGTTTTTATGCTGGTTTGCTTCAAGGAGCAGGGTGGAACAGAAAGAAATAACATGGCTTGTTGTTTATTTTCAGTACATCCAGGCCTTTTACAACGAATCATGGGAAAGAAGGCATGGACATCCAATAGACCTGGATACTCTGACTCTGCTCTGGTCTGTGACTGTGTCCATATTTGCCATCGGGGGACTTGTGGGGACGATGATGGTGAAGATGATGGGAAAGTTTCTGGGAAGGTTAGTAGTGGGCCATCTCAATCTGGGGTCCCCTCCGTAAAGATATATCTGCAGCATAGTCAGGATCTCAGCAGGCAACAGAATTCCACTTGGATGGTTTGACTGGAGAGATTCTAATGCCCAGTAAAGCAAGGGGAGGAAATAGAGGACCAGAACCCTGGGAGAACTGAAGCCATGGACAACTGGCTGATGAGCAGGAGCTGAAGTGTGGAGGGCCTGGGCTGTCAGAACCACAGCACACAGATGAGGGAGGAGTGGGGAAAATATTCTGGCCCTTTTCTCCTCTCACCCTCCAAAATGCTGCGTGGTGCGTCCATTGGTCAAACCCATGGGACAGCCAGAAAGTCAGGAAACCTTGTTGTTGCCATTCAGGGTCCAGCTCCAGGGCACATAGCAGAGCAAGGAGGGAAGGAGAATGGATCTGGGCTTCAGAGCAAATGGAGAACACTCAGTGCAGTGCCTTAGAGGTTGTTCCACATATAGATCTGCTTTTGTAAGAAAATCAGCTTCTAGGCTGGGTGCAGTGGCTCATGCCTATAATCCCAGCACTTTGGGAGGCCGAGGTGGGAGGACTGCTTGAGCCTAAGAGTTCAAGAGTAGCCAGGACAGCATAGAGAGACCTCATTTCTATAAAAAGTTCAAAAAATTAGCCAGGTGTGATGGCACGTGCCTGTAGTCCCAGTTACTCAGGAGGCTGAGATGAGAGAATTGCAGTGAGCTGTGATCATACTATTGCACTCCAACCTAGACGACAGAATGAGACCCCTGACTCAAAAAAAAGGAAAGAAAATCAGCCGCTTAGACTGTCTTTCAATATATGGCTAACCTGATTATTTAGTTAACGCCTCTAACTATTGATAGACATTTAGGCTATTTCAAATATTGTACCTTTCAAATAAAGCTGTAGCGAGAATCAAAAATTCCATATAGAAATGTATTTCTCACTTGGGCTCTCTCCAATCAGCTTCACTTGAGCCTCATTCCTCACTTATGTTGGACACGAAGACTTCTTTCAGAGCAGATTGAGTTATGCGTAATTTCCCTTAACAATGTTTTCTCTGCATCCCTCCTCATAACAATAGCTTCCTGGGAGCTGGTGTAGCATATGTGGAAAAAGTAGAGTCTCTGAGGCATTTGTGTCAGAACTTGACTCATACGTCTCCCACTTACTAGCTGTGTGGCCTTGACTAAGTCATTTGATTTATTTGAATCTCAGTTTCCTCATCTGTAAAATGGGAGTGATAGTCACAGCCTTTAAAGAATTTTATAAGAGTAAGACAGAATGAATGACGGAGGATTGGCTGTCAGTAGTAGCTCAATAATTAGAAGCTGTTGTTATTTACCACATTATTTACCATCGTCCGCCTCATCACCTTGACATTCCCCCATGGTAGGTGTTCCACACATCTCCATACTACATTGGCCTGAATTGGAGGAGACATTCATCAGACTCCAGAAAAATCTCCTTAGACCCTGAGGCTACAGAAACACCTAAGAAGGATCCCACTCACTCCTTTACAACCCAACAAGAAGAACATTACAGTTGAGGATGCTTCAGAGCAGGCTTTCCAACGGTTGGGACATGAAGCCATCTCTAAAACATTCACATGGTGCTCCTAAAGATCCATGGTATCCCAGTGAGATTCGGGAGGCACTGACACTTTCCTTGTCCCCAAGGCCTCTTTAAGAGCAGCAATTAATGGGAACTCAGTACAGGAAAGTGCAACTACGACATGATGTAGTGGAAGATGCCATTTTTTGAGGCCCTCTGATGTTACAGGCACTCACACACTCTCTTGTTTAATTTGGTCTCTCTGTGGGGTCTACAGGTGGGAAATGAGAGGTTGGAAAGGTTAGGGCATCTGTACAAACTGAGCTAGCTCACGCAGTGTCTGAGCTCAGGCTGCAACCAGTGCATGACAACCTTAACACTGTAATCTTTTCACTATGCCAAACAAGTCTTAATTAGGATCCTGCTGGCAATGTACTGTAAACTCCACAACTGTTGACAACTTACCCGACTGGCACCCAGATTTGCACTGCTGGCCTGGGTCTCTGAGGCATGGTCACTAGGTTTGCGGCCCAAGCCCGAGGTCACTAGGTCTCTGGCCCAGACCCTGTCCACGGTCTTCTTGCCTGTCCCAGTTATATGAGTTCACCCCCTCCCCCTGGCTCTGTGGCCTGTGACATCCACTTGCCTTATACCTGGCCATGGCACGTATACCCCAAAGTTGCTCTTTAAGGAGGTTTTGAGCACAAGCAAATGAAATAGCGCAAGGAGGCCGGGCTCGGTGGCTCAGCTTGTAATCCCAGCACTTTGGGAGGTTGAGATGAGTGGATTGCCTGAGCCTGCGGGTTCGAGACCCGCCCGGGCCACTTGGCGAGACCTCATCTCCACAATAAATCAAAAATTAGCCGGGCACATTAGCGCGTGCCTGTAGTTCCGGCTACTTGGAAGGCTGAGGCGGAAGGATCGCCGGAGCCTAGCAGGTCGAGACTGCGGTGGCCGGGAGTGGCCACTGCACTCCAGTCTGGGCGACAGAGTCAGACTCCAACTAAAAAAAAAAAAAAAAAAAAGAGAGAAGACATAGCGCAAGGAGCACCGGAACCAAAGCCGGAATGCTGTGGCTTAAAAGTCCCAACTTCCCACATGACATGGGACTTTGCCACCTCATCTGTCAGCCGGCATTTTTCTCACATGTTAAATGAGGTCAATGAAAGTAGCTTTACTTCCCTCATCAGCACGCCAGCAAAAAACCAAAAAAAAAAGGAAAGAGGAAGGAAAAATGTCTTTGAAAACATCTTCAATCTGTAAGTGATGGAGGAGTCATCACATTCCCCCGGCGGGCTGGAGAAGTGTGGCTGCAGAGAGAGAGAAAGAGAGAGATCAGATCAAAGGGTGTTGGTTGTTATGCCCCAAGCAGCTGCCAATGTCTCTTTTCGACATTATAAAAGTTGAATTGGGCTGAAGTTTCAGCTTGAATAGTAACTGTTCGGAAGAAAAAGAGCAAAACTTCAAAAAGAAAGCTACCATTGACTCACCTCTTGCTAGATACCAGTGCTTGACATACGATGTATCATTTACTTCTTAAAACTCTGTTTGTTTTATTGTCCCTGCCCTACAAATGAAGAGTCCAAGACCTGTGAGATCAAGCAACTTTCTCAAGGTTACAAAGAATGAGGTCGAACTGAAACTCAAACCTGTGTCTGTTTGACCACAGGCTGACCTGCTTCCTATTTCCTGATACTATTTGAAACTCCTTGATGCATTGTTATCCTCTCCTGTGGGGATTGTCAGGGAGGATGGGAAGCTGGGCTCACTGCGAGAGGCTGAGGAAGCCACAGTGGCAGTCTCGGTGGTCCAGCAGAAGGTGCTCAAAAGTGTGGCTGGGAGACAAGTTCAGGTGGAAGTGGAGTCCTCAGAGTTCAGGGGGATCCGGCCACTGGCAGGTCCAGCGGCGGGGGTGCTCCTAGCTAGGATGTATTGAACTAAAATGTGATTTGGGAGAGAAATGAGGACAGGGAAGTACGAGAGACCAGGAATAGTCTCTGGAGAGAAGATACACAGCATCACCTGGGCCTTAGAAATACAGGTTCTTTGCCTCTGGGTGTCTCTGGCTGGGAGAATTCTGGGCCATGAATAATTCTGGTTCAATTTCAGGTGCCAATTTGGTATCATCCATCCTCTGTTTGCATGACCATAGTTACAGAACCCTCCCTCCCTCATGAGATGGGTCAGTGAAAAGTTTGATGCCCACATGCTGGCTATAGGCCCAGCTTCAAGTCTGGGCTCTGATAATTATAGTTCATGGGGCTGTATATGAGTTATTTAGACACTCGGGGTTCATTAATCCACAATGACATAAAGAAAAAGTAATGGCCATATCAGAGGGTTGTTGTGAAGATTAAATAAGATGGTGCTCAGCAAGTGTTTATCTCAACAACTGGCACAGAATGGGAGCCCAACTTCTGTCCACTAGTGTCATCATCACCAACGTCATCATCGCCATCATCATCAGCACCTTCTGAGATGGGTCATTCCGCCACTCAACAGAGTTGACTGTGAATCTGTTTTTAAAATTGCACTGAAACGGTCCTACTTGCACCTACTTGCACATATCGTTGGATTTAGCTCCTCCTTCTAGAGCAAAGTAGAGAAATCTGCAAGATAGGGAAACTGACACAGACTTTGAAATCAAATCCCAGGTCAGATTCTCAGACAAGCCACGCAACCACATTCACCGATGCAACAAAAATTTTTGAGTGTTTGCCAGGAGTGAGGCACTGTGTCTGGCACAGGGACTTTGGTGAACAAGAGAGACACAATACCTGCTGGCTAGAGTGATGCTCGGGCAAGGGAGGCAACCCCTGAGCAGTTCATTGTGCAAGTCATTGTAACTCTGGGAAGTGCTATAAATGGATATTAGAGATACAAGAAGAGGCAGCTGTCATGTTCTTTAATTTTTAAATCTGTAAAGCACAAATAGGGAGCAGCTATGAGTATTGAATGAGACTAAATTTACAGAATGTCTCATGCCACTCAGGAGGCTTTTTGAATGCCTGTGACAGGAACCCAAATCAAACTGGCTTAAGCCCAAAAGGGGAATTAATTGGCTCACACAACTAAAATATAATTTGGTTAAATCCAGTTGCTCAAGTGATATCACACACACAAAATCCAGATCTGTTTCTTCCCTCTCTCTGCTCTGCCTTCTGCTACGTGGCTTCATTCTCATGCAGTCTTTCCCATAGAGAGGCAAACTGGCTCCAGCTGGGTGAGAAATCTCCTTCCAATAGTTGTAATGAAAGTCTCCAGCTTGAGCTCCTTGATCTGAATGTGGTTGCGTGCCTTCAGAGGTGCTCAACTGGCAGGCAATGTTGCCCCATTGACAAATGGGACATTTGTCAATGTTAGGAGACATTTCTGGTGGTCACAACAGGGCGGGGATGCTGTTAGCATCTGGGAGAAGCCAAAGATACTGCTAAACATCCTACAATGC